ATCCCAGGAAGGTGAACGTTCCAACTGGCTCAATGTTTCATTTACAACATCCGTGCTTTCGTCATGCTCAGTTGCGGCAACCACTTGAGTACTACAATAAAACAGATTCACTGATGTCAAGTATGAAGAAACGATGAACCACATGCCAAACTACGGCGTAGGAACCATTCCTGCTGTTAACGGTCTGCAATTCGCATTATCGTACTGGCAAGCGTGCAACCTAGAGTTGCATATATGCAAGTGCAACTCAGGCTGCGCACGCACCACACTTGACGGCACGATCATGCGTTTTTGCACTAAATTTGGAGCAACCAGGTAACGACCTGCATGAATGGTTGCTGCTTATCTTAAAACTTGTGCATTCCTTACCGTAAATTTTCACATAAAGGAAAATAAATAATTTCCATTGAACGGTCGTTCACTGAAAATTACCTAGCTGTTTCTCTTTCCTGTTTTCCTTTATGCAAGAATTTACAGCGATTTACGGTATGGGATGCACAAGCTAAGGTTAAGCAACAATCATTCATACAGCTCACGATCTGGTTGTTTCAAGTTTAGGCAAAAACGAATGATCGTGCCGGCAAGCGCACTCAATGTAATATGAAACTGAAAAGGCTGCCAATGAAAAAAAAAAAAGGATTCTTATGAGTTCCAGACCAAGCAGAATAGAGATGGAAAACAAATCGCAAAGAAAGTTGGGCCAAAACGCCTATTCAGTAACCAAACCTGGGAAGTTGCTCAAATGATAGCAAATGCCAAATCACCCGCTAGCTTGGCAGCCAACGGCTCTTTTCAGGAGGGTATTCCGGGCTAAATTTTAATGATCAAAAGTAGGAAAATGTGTAAAAAAAAAACCTTGCAAATATCGGTTTCCGTAGACTGCCTATATCAACGTCAGCTACCACGCCATCTTTCATAGCACCGGCTAAAATGGTGTCGTTTCGTAGGCTGACACCAGTGTCTTTATCTAATTCATTATTCACAGTCACTTCGCCCTTCAATGCCCTGTTCATTTGTTCCTGTTGTCTCCTGAAGCGAGAAAGGTACCGAATTCATGCAAATTCTATTGCAAATTTATCATAATTCCATATTTTAGTTGGAGTATGGTGACAAAGTAAGAGGAAAAACCGTGGACGAGAAAATATGTCGAAAACTTCCGGCTTGAACCTTTACGTGTCAGTGCATGAGACGTAGAAGCATGCGGGTCAGGGTCACACACATAGGTAGTGTAATCCTAAGAATCCAAGTTTCTTGATCCTCGAGTTGAAAATTATCCGACTAAAACCTTCACGCGTCCGTGCGTAGGCCTGTACATGGAAAAGCAAGATGAATTTAGGCAAAAAGCTCACCGGCTCAAATCGTGCGGCTGTCCCCCAATCTTCGAAAACTTCTTCTCTCCCTGCAACAGAAAATAATAAATTTAATCACAATTCATTTGTTATTGAAATAAAGCCAACAACATTAGTAACAAAAGTTGATATTCATAAACAAAGTTAAAATAGTAGAAAAGGGGGGTTGGACTTAAGTGTCATGTGCAAGAAAACATTTTACGATGCAGTCTCTCTGTATTTCATTCCTTAGCTGTAAACACAGGCCGAATTATGCGTGCGGGTAGAAGCGGAAATAAAAATGCATGAGATCAAGTTTATTTTACATTACCGGAAATTTTTAAAACCAAATAAATAGCAGATTAGTGAGCAAGAAAAGAATCTGCCAAAAAAATAACAGGAAAAAAAGGAACCCAATTAAGTCCGCTAATGATACTCACTACAGCCCTAAATAATCGCACTTTTTCATCACTAACATCAGAAACAGTTAAATGATAATGAATCCTGCCAATACTGTATTTTCTCATTTGGAGGGAAGCCGATTTTGAAGAAAAAAAAGAATTTATTTATCCACGTCAGTTAAGCTAAAAATAATAGTAACCGTGAGATTTGAGAAAAAAATAAAAAAGAAAACGAAAAAAGCAAGCTTAAGTATTTTTCGCAGAATAGCGCAAGAGCATTCCGCTTTTCCCCGCAATCCTCCAGCTTCCCCCAGCCTTGAATCGCCACTGTTCCTTTTTCAAAAGACGGAAAGATTCGTGTTTTTCAGAAATCCTAAATAGCATGAAGTTTTTCTGCGTGTTTTTCTTGTTTTTGCAATTGCCCTAAAATTTCCAGTCGCTCGCATTTTTTTCCATCCGTCCAGAAGTTTTTGGCGCCTTTTTTGGACAGCAAATTGGCATATTTATAAATACGAAAGGAATCTGATGCAATAAAGGAGAGGTGCGAATTACAGCTGCTCGACTGCCACCGCTGAATTCTCCTTTGACAGGCTTCACTTGTGTCTCCTTTCCACAAGTTTTTGCTTTTTTCCATTTCAAATCGCATATTTCCATGTCCTCCGTAGAATTCTCGGAAGCATTCCTCTTTCGCAAATTGGCCTTCAAAAAGGAAACCAACTAGTCAGCAAGATGCGTCATTTCAGCACATTTTAAAAGTTAAAACCGCATCCTCTCGCTTCACATACTGAACGAAGACGCTACAAAGACTGCCCAGACAGTACGGGCAAGCACCAACCAAGATATACTACAATCACCGTCTCTATTGGTTTGTCCACTCTTCGGAAACCATCCGAATGGTCGTTAATTTGTTGTCCTTTCCAAAAGGGGATCCA